GGAGAAAGTGGGAAAGAGTTTTTTTTTTTTTTTGATATTATTATTAAAGTTTTTAAGTCAAATAAAAAATATATATATATATAAAACAATAATTAATTTTTAAAATTATTCTTTAAGTTATTTTAAAAAAAGTAATAAAACTTTATTAACATTAAATAAAAAACTTTTGCAAATATTTTTTTTATATTTATTGGAGAATTGATAAAAAAATTGAATTTTCTAATAATTTTTTTAATAATATTATTGTACTATTAATTTATTGATTATATGAATATATAATAAGTAATTGATAATTTAATGTTTATATTCAATATTAAAATAAAATTATATTGGATTAAAATTAAGATAAAATTGTAAAATAAAATTAAATAAAATCAAATAAAATTATATTGTATTAAAATTAAGATAAAATTGCAAAATTAAATTAAAATAAAATTATAAATAATAAAATTAAATTAAAATTATAAATAAAATTGTAAAATCAAAAAAATCAAAAAAAAATTATAAAATAAAACAATAAAATAAAATTAGATTAAAATTACAAAATAAAATTAGATTTAAAATTATTATTTAAAGTTATATATCAAATAATTCAAATAAAAAAAATAAGATATTGCTTTCTTAAATTAACGAATCACGACACTTTTTAAAATTATCAAGTATAATAGTTTTCAATGATAAATCATCATGATATTTAAATTATAGATTTTTGTTATGTTTTCAAATTATTAATTCTTGATGTTTTTTAAATTACCAAACCATGATAAACTTTTAATGACTTCAAGTTTTTTGCAGAGTATTTGTATCCATCAAAATTATATGATACTTGCAAATGGGACATAAGGTTTGTATTGTATTGATTAAAAATAAAATGCGATGTATAATAATAATAATAATAATAAAAGAAAATAGCTTTTTAATAAAGTAATATACAGTATTCGAGATAAATCCGGCAGCAAGAATTCCGATTGATCATTTGTGTTCAAACATTAAGTTTAACCCATTTATCCTTATTTATAAAAATTTTCGAATACTGTATGTAGGATATTACAGTACTTTGTGTAAATTCGTTGCGATGAAGCATCCGTGGTACATCTTATACAAATGTTTCATTGCACAATGGCAAGGCTAATAAATATGGTTTTCATTTTTGATCGTATCGAACTTGATTGATCTTGTCGTTAAAACATCAAAAAAAAAAAATTTTTTTTTGGTAGTTTCATTTGAACGCGAATGTTATTATTCATGTAACACATATTCCATCTTGGGCCGCTTAATATCGGGAGTTTGGGATTCAAATTTTCGCAAACGGGCATGTAGATACTGGGTGTACCACTGGCCAATGCAATAAACTCTAAATATGTGCTCAATACTAACTAATATCGAAATTCTTTTATCTACGACCAATTATGTGAGGCAGGATACGTAATATGCAAACAAACACAGGTAATGGAGTGGTACCTTCCCACGCATATAAATGCATTTTGGTCCGAAGTAAATGCGTGATTTATTATGCTTGCACTATACTACGTATCACACAACATGCATCTTTATACGAAATTTATTGTCCTCCATGCATGTCAGTTTGTTAGCATTCTCTCATGAATTTGGTTTATCCTTTTTGGTGTGGTGCGGAGAGAAATTTCTTTTCTGAAAAATTATGTTCTTCTGAAAGTCTTTTATGTCATGGCAAATTTTCTGGAGACGGTCATTGACTTCTACATCTTAAAAAAAATAAATCAGTATTTATAACCTCAAACGAGATCGACCGGTCATCCAATAACTTGTGCGACATTGCTCTGCTACGTGAACCCACGTTGTTTACTTTATCAGTCGTCATCTGCTTTATGTTTATATGCCGTTTTACATTATACAATGCGAACAAAATTTCTTAAATATCATTCAAGATTTGGAAGGCTTTATATAAATGATAATAGTAACGCATTTGGTTGTTAATTGAGTAACCATAGAGATAATGGTGCATCGATGATTCCGGTGGCTGGTTCAGATCGACGTTTAGAAAAAAAAAACGATTGTTTCTTTTTAGCAAAGAGATAACAAATACAGGTTTTTTTCTTTATCAAAAAATAGAAGGTACACACATCCGATTCTAACATTGTGTAATGTACATTTTAAGACACACACATGAATAATTTGTTTTATTTTCACTTTTCATATAACACGAAACTTGTATCAAAATTTGAAGAGTTTAGGTTTAAAGCGTCCGGTTATTATCTTATATACAAAAAGATAATCTCCGGCACAAGAATTGTTTACGCGGATTTTTCGAATAGATCGATGCACACACCGCTATCATCAAAGTAATGTTTGTCAAACCAATTGTTGTGTATACTTTAAACGTTTTTTCTTTTTTTTTTTTTTTTTGAATAAAAAAAAAGCTCATTACTTTCCGACACATTTTTCTCTTCGGTAACCCGTGCCACTCTTCGATAAAACCTCTTTTCAACATTCGCTCTTTCCCGGCAGTCCTCGTCTGAACATTCACATCACACATTCTTTAATTTTTTCATCAAAAGTTTTTCAACATCTTGCCAAGAAGGAGAGATTGCTTTACGAAATTCTTTCACAAGTTTCTCCAAGAGACGTCAGCAAACAATTGGTTAATTGAATTAATTCCCTGTAAGAAATATGTCAAATTACAATTACCCGGGAAGCAGCGGCATTGTCGTTGGTAAGGGTAAAGGACCCAAGAATCCTCCACCACCAATTAAATATCAAAAATCACATAAAAACATAACATTCATATTCGCACCTGAAAGTAACCTTTATAAAATAAGTCTAATCGGTGGAGAGGATAACATCTTGGAAGGGATCGTACACCTAAGCTACGAAAAACCCACTCAAATAAAGTCAATAAGCCTCAATCTAAAGTGCACGGAGAAGACCACATCATATGAATCACAGGGAAGGGCCAACACGCTCTTCTCCGGAGTTCACATACTGATAGATAAGACGGAAAAAATTTGGGAATCCAAGGACGAGAAAACCATTGAAACCTTGGACATCCCGTTTCGGATTCTACTTCCTGACGATCTTCCGGAAATGATAAACACCAAGTTTGGACAAGTTAGCTATGTGCTTAAGGCCATAGTTCATCAGAAAAGTTTTTTCGTTTCATCGACTCAGACGGTGGAGATTATGTATCCGTTAAAAAAGCTAATCCACGACAACACCAATGCATCTTACTATAAGCTACGTGGCGAATCAAAGAATGGGATGGAATACTCGTTTGATCTTCCGCCTAACAAGATCTTTAACATTGGAACGTGGGTGCCAATTCCCATGAGAATTCGATTTCTGACACCTGACATAAGCATAGATCGGATTGAGATTTCCTTAAAGACAAGTATGGACTTTCGATTTGATAAACCAAGAAATACGACGCGTCAGATAAGTGAAAAGGCGATTTCCATGGTAATACCACGTCAGGACATCTTCTACTTGCAACCGACCTCATCTCATTACCACGGAGAATGCGTCGCCACCATCGATCTCACAGTTCCTCAAAGTCTACAACCGTCGTATAATGGAAGAGTAATAAGCATCACACATCATTTCTATGTAAGGTTTTACCTATGGGACTCAGAAAAGGATTTCACGATTGAAGAGGATGTGACGGTTGCGCATATTCACGAGCCCACATCACAAACACCACGAGTGGGAACACCGAATAGTTCACAGTACCAAATACACCTAATGAACTATTCGCCTTCTTACATAACTCCGCAAAGCAGCGGAAATTATGTCGAAGATCCGGATGAAATCAGGGTCGCAACCCCAATCGGTCAATCGTCCACCGATAACGATTCCTTATACATCTATGAAGATCCAATTCCTTAGTAAAATGTGAACCTAAGTTATGTAATTTAATTCATTGTGTCTTCAAAGTCCATCTTAAGCCATTTGCAGTACTCAAGAAAGATGCCATACATGCCGCGAACACTTTTATTATAATACGCACAGTATTTATTTATCATCATCATTATCATTATTTGTTTCTATATTATTTCGAGTGTAAGTTGTAAAATCCATAGGCCATTTTATGAAGTATTGAAAGAAAAAATAATAATAATAATAAATAGAATTTATTTATTTTTTATTTTATTTTAATTTATTTTTTTTTTTTTTTACCTTCGTGTAAAAAAATTTCATCAAAAACGCGTATCGTAATTTTTCCCAAATCTGCACGTGACGTATTTCCGATTGTGTGGCGCACCAAAGTTCTGCATTGACAAATGAGTGAACACGTAAATAATAGTAAACAAAAGATACGTACGCACACGACAAAGAGAGGCCTCGGCCGTTATTGTGTCGTATATCATTGCTTTATTAGGAAAGTGCATGCGAGTATTTTCACGACCACATTCGGAAAAATAGCTTCAATAGGTGGAGTACCAGGCCAGGGGACATGATATGATAACTTCGCATCAGATTCATTTTAACTTAACCCCTTTAAATTTCATGCGGTCTTTTTATTTACAAAATAAAAAGTCAGCTTCTCTGAAAGATTTCGGATTTCTGCAAAAGAATTGATGCCGGAATCAGGTTACAATTGACATATTATACTGTAATTGATTGTAAAGATTGTAAAGGAATAAACGGGACGGGGACGGGTCCGTATGTAACATACGGTGCGTATCACGATGTTGACGAGTTTGCAAAAGAATATATATATTTATTTATTTTCCCAGGCTTGTAAGAGGGTGCGTCGTTCGGCATACTTATATTATACTGTGCCCCATCACATTGCAATGACACGTCTTGGCGCGGCAAATAATAAGATGATATAAAACGCTATCAAACGCCCAAGGGCGTACAAAAAAAAAATTCTTTTTTTGTTATCCGATATATAAATGATTGTAGTGTCTACCCATGAATGAAACCTTATCACCTGCACGAACGCAACACTATCCGAGTGCAGCATCGAGCTTATTAGATCAAAAATTATTTGAGATGCGTTGAGGAGATCGAAATATGAAAGAATAAATTTAACGGGACGTACCAGATCACGCGGAGGAGATATTATGGAACAAAGAAATTAGTCACGCTGATATTTTATTCAAGCTTGACCTTTCAAACCACCGTATCCAATGCGTTAAATGTATTCCGGACGCCATCGTACGGTCCAACTTTGTAAATTCAAGAACAAGCGGAATCCAGTTCATTTAATCAAACATGTTTGTCTTCAGACATGCGAAAATCTGCCTTCCAAATAATATCAATATAAAAAGCTAGCTATTCATTAGTATTGCACGTCTTCCTTTGATATTGGGAATCGACCATCGCCTTGAGAATCATCACAAGATCTTTATTCGACAGACCTTCCAAGAATTCGTTTCACCTGTGGAATACTCCCCCACTGCTGTAACAGTCTATCTCCCCAATGCCTGTTACATCGATACTTTGCATAAATTGCGTATCTAAGGGAGCAAAAAGGAAAAGGAATTTGATGTAAGAAGACATTTTCCTCGCATATGTTGAGGAAGTCCATACGACCACAGACCAATGTCATGAGAAAATTTCGGTAACATTGACAATAGTGATCGTTCGTTTCACCAACAGAAAAGAGTTATACCACCGCAACATAATTACTAAAAAAAGAGAAAATAGTTAATCAGAAATAACATCTGTCAAAGGTCACGTGATTGATAAGGATAGAAAATGCGTACGTACTTATCGTTTCGCCTTAGCATAACTAGATTATCAACGGTGCGAGATGTATATTTTAAGTAATAATATAATTTAAGATTGTTTTTTAGATAAACTTCGCGTCACCAGTTACACCTTTGATCATTTACCTTTAAAAAATACAAGCATTATTATCACAAGTTTTTTTATATATCATTTTATTTTTTAATTTGCATTCCAGTCTCTATATAATTATTCATCGCATATGTACAGTAAATTTCATATACAGTATATTGATTTCTCAATTATCAAAATTTTTTCTGCATACAATTTACAGTATTTCACTTTCCATTTACCGTAGCTTGATATTTTCTTTTAACTATTGTAATTATTAGATTCATATTATTATTGTAAAACTTTCATAATTTTTAACTACTGTATTTATTTTATTATGCATAATACTCTTTGGAATGATCATAATATTCATAACTTATCAGACAAATTTTAGCTCAAAATAAAAAATGAAAGTTTAATTGAGCATCATTATTTTTAATAATTAATAATAAGATTAAAATATAAAATTTATAATTAATTTTGAAAATAGATATTAAAAAAAGTATTTAAATATACAATATAAAATAGTTAATAAAAGGTTTTTTTATATTATTTTACTAATATATTTTATCAATTAATAAATATTCAAGAAATTATTTATTTTTTAAAATTTGAAATCAAATTAAAATAAATTATAAGAATATAAAAAATATAAAAAAATAGTTATTTATCACATAATCAATTCTTATTTAAATATACATTAATATAAAAAAATAGTTATTTATTATATAATCAATTCTTATAAGTATGTATAAATATAAAACATAAAAATTATATTATTAATTATACAAAAAAAAAATTTGAATTAAAATATATTGAATAAATAACAATTCACTTCCCCTCTTTTTTGATAATATATAACTATTGACTACAAGAACTAATATTTTTTTAAAAAAATTTAATACTCCTATTTATTTACTAAAATTATCTTTTTATATAGCCTCAATATTATATTTCTCAAACAAGACTTGAATACAATCCTTATATTTAAAATTTTCTAATTAAATATTAGTGAAGTTTAAGTTTTATATAAAAAATCCTTAATATTAATATTATTAAATATTTCAAATAATCCATCAATTTACAAAAACTCTTTTCCATAGATCCCTAACCACTACTTTCAAAGAAGCGTTCCTTCAAAACTTTATGTTTTGAGAGTAATAAAACTTTAAAACTTTCTTTAAAACACCTGCTTCACTTAGCAGCATTCATATTTTACCCTTCTTGTTTACTTTTTCTCTTCAAAAACCCTTTATCTAAGATGTTAATAACAAGAAAGCTTTTCTAGAAAGAAGAAACCAGATGAAAAAATACTCTTCTTCTCTTTTCTATAGAGATCCCAAAGTCCAGAAAGAAGTGTGGATCAACAATTCCATGCCAACCTAAGAAAC